ATTAATATCAATAATAAAATTAAAATCATTTTTTATATTTTTATATAATTTATTGTAAAAATATAGGTATTAATTAGACATTTTTAGTGCAAGGTTAAAAATGCCCGAACACTTAAAACTGTATATGAAATTTCGAGATCCCATGGTCTCTATAAACTTCTTTGACTCAACAAATAAAGTTCTAAAACATTGAGCTCAAAAAAGAAGTTTTAAAACATCTCATCTCATTTAAAAAAAGTACTTTTTTTCCTTTCTTTGACCACTTCGTGTCATGAGCCTGTGTGTGGCCAATTCTCTCTTTATTTATTTTTATTTCTATTTTTTTTTTACTTTTAATGAACTGTGTCCTGCCAATCGAACAATACCCTTTTGGCTCTTTTCAATGTTTAACCTTAATTATTACTAGTACTTCAGTTAATAATGTAAGTAGGACTGCTTAATTATTACTTATTAGAAAGCTAATCCACTTTTAACATCAAAAGCAACGTATTGTACGGTTCAACATTGCATGTAGAATTTTTCATCTTTGCCTTTTTTTCTTTTTTTTCTTTTTATTGAACGGCTCAAAATTATGCATACATAACATGTCCACTAATGTTTACGAAAGCATCTACGTATATATGTTTAGTTTAAGATTTTAAATTAAAAAATTTAAATTTAAGTATTAAGGTGAGTGATAAATTAATTTGAGAAATAAGAATATTATTCCATGGCTTACAGAAAGATTGGGTGGTGTATCCCAACATAACCCTTCGTGCTTTTTAGAACCACTGGAGAAATTTAAATGAGGGAAATATGTGATATGAGTAGAAGTGAAATCTAGAATTTGGACCAGGGTACTGGGAGCACTGGATTTCAGCTTTATATTGAGTGTATTGCATTGCTAGATATTGGGTTGTGTTATGGTCATAGGCAAACTTTGTTAAGGATGCATATTTTGATTATTATTTTATTTGTTTATAATTTCTTATATAAATAAATTTTTTTGATTTTAATTACATAATTAAAAGTAATTTTTTTATTTTCTTTCCCATTTTATTTGCATATTATGCGATTTAAATTTAAAATTTTTTATTTTTAACGAAAAAATTATTATAAACTATTTAAGTCGTTGATATATATAATTAATTATAATATTAAAAAAGTATATTTATAATTTAATTTAATCTATTAAATAATATATATTATTTATTTTATTAACAATGTTTAATAATTAAATAAATTAAAATTTTAATAATTTATTACCCTAACAAATTTAAACGTGATTATATCCATAACCAATGTCTAACAAGTTGTCATGGGCGTTTTGATTTCCAAAAAGGTGTACCATATTGTTCGTTTTCCTTGGGTCGTTGTTTTACCTTCTTTTATTATCATATATCATGATTATATTACTTCGTTAATATAATAATCACTATGTTTCAAATCTAACCATAGTAATTAGATTTCTTAATAAATAAATATCATTATAAATTAAGTTTAAAGTTTAAATATTAAATTTGAAAAGTAATGTTGAAGAAATTAATTTTTTGAATATATCATATTGATATGAGAGATATACACTTAAGATTATTTGAAAAAAATAAATATCAAAATATATGAAAATTGATCTAATGAGACTTTAATTAAAAAAAAAAGTTGTTTCAAATCAATTTAATTGATAGCGTATTGATAAATAATAATAATAAAAAAATTTAAGACTATGATTGATATGGTTAGCACTTAAGAAATTTAACTTTACCTTTAAGTAGGCACTATTTTCTATAATAAATAAGCTTTTCTTCAAATTTTTAACTTTAACATGAATGATAACTTGAATTCAATAAAATTGTGACAGTTGTTATAAGCATTATTAAGAGGGATGGCACGTTAATTACCTGATTGATAAACGCTTAGAAAAGGAAACAACTTAATATCTTATCTTGAGAGGAAGCAAGTTCTTTATGAACATGACCAAAAAAACATTGTTGCATGATGGCCATAAATGGGATGATTATGATTTAATGGAGTCAACTTGTAGACCTTAGATAAGGGACACCCATTAGGAGAAACAACAAATGCTTTGTGGTTGGTGGGTAGCTGAGGCATGCCCTAGTATCCCTTTCACAATCCACTGGAAAAGAAACAAGACCCCACCTTCCCCATCAAAACCAATCTTCTCAAGAGATTAGATGGCACCACATACACACTACTTAGATGGTGGGTCTGGTGTGTGTTAGTACTTATTATTTAACAAACAATTTGCTGTTTGATTTGATTCACAAATACGCAGCAAAAATTTTCATTATAGCATTGTAAATAACTATATTTTATTCCATTAATTAGTCTTTAGTATTTTGTTCGGTTGTTCCTGGACAAGACACTCACTTTTCTTCTCTTTCTTTTTCTTTCCTTTTCTTTTTTTTTCCCCTTTGAACTAAATCCAAAATAAAAACACTTACTTTTCTTATAAAAAAGAAAACAAATTCACTTTTATTATATAAAAATGTTGTGTGCAATCTGTCCTATATAAATTACACAATGTTAAGAAGTCTATCCCCTCCAGCAATGGATATATGCTACACCAAAATACTACTCATTTCAAGTACTCTTTCTTTAATTTGATCGGCAAAGGAGGACTCATTTCATGTACTCTTGTTAATAGGTTCGGTGGAACCATTGAAGAGTATAAACCTAAAGGAACATGCAAGAGATGAATGGTGAGGCTCATGCGGTTCGTGGCTAGCATATGCCCGTTTCTGGGGGGCCCTTGGTCGACCGAACCACATATTGAATAAATCTTCCTCTGGCCGACAATATCGCTTTTTCTTGTCCAATCGATTCTTTCTATACCACCATTAATGGAGATAGAAGTACAGAATTGATGGACTTTTATGCGAGGACGAGATACCTCTCAAGTTCCCTTCCACAGCAAAATCTATACTGTCCCTGATCTTACGCATGAATATGGGCTACCTGGGCTACCTTGAGTTCTTTGTTCTTAGTTTCAAGGATGGGCCTCACGACAACACACACAAGCCATCCAATCTTTCATTCACTTTCTTCGTCCTCATGAGTACGTAGAGGGTTATAGACTTATAGTCGATATCATTGATTTGTGGAAAATGGAATGATAATGTTAAAAATGAAAACAAACTTCAGTGGAAATAAGAAAAGAAAAGAAATTGCAGAAGAAGATTCCAATTTAACCATAATCAGCAATCAAAACCTGCATCATGTATATCGGGCATCGACAATCATGTCTTTTAAGTAGATAGGAATATTTCCATTAGATACAATAAGTGACTAAGCAGTAACTAGATGCCAGATAACTTTGATGCAACTTGTTCGCTAGAGTTTCTGGATAACAACGGAATTAGCAAGGCCTGCCTGCTCTATGGTTTGAGTGGGAACAGTCAGGAGTTTAGGGGGGAATCCCATCAGCTGCAATTGATAATTTGTTGCAGTCCCAGGCCTAGCAGCATTGATGAAGGCACGGATGTCATTGATAGTATGGTGGAAATTGAAGTGGCCAATCATGCGAGTCCCATCAGCCAACCTTAGCTGAATTGAAGTTGATGGTAAATTTCCATCAACAACAAGACCTGCAGAAGCGGTTGGAGCAGTGTTAAGAGTGGAGGCTGCAGAGGGTTCAGCAACTGTTGAGTTGCTGCTGCTACCAAGAGTTCTTCCTACCCCCTGAAATGCAACCTGATGCCTCTTTTCTGGTTCCTGAAAGAAGAAAATGATAGGAGCAAAATATTATCATCTGGACCTTTACAATCAGACAGTAGCAGGCCCAAAAAAAAAAAAAAAATCAGCCCAAGGTCTTCGACACCCTAATAAAACATGAACACATTTAGAAGAAAACCCATGGAGCACAACACCATAAATTGGGTACTTTCTAGTACTAGACAGATAACAGAGTTGTAAATTACTAAATTCTACAAGTTATTTAGGAGATAAAAAGGAGAAGGAAAGTGGCTTACAGGGCAATTCTCATCCCTCCTTATCAAATTGACATGAACAGGAGACCTTCTATCTGCAGGCTCAAGCTCTTTTGGACACTCTGACTTTCTAATGCTCTGCATTGAAATGTACAAAATCATTAATAAAGTAGGAAGAGTGGCATTCTGAAAAATAAGAAAAGCCATGGAATACAAGGTACTGGGAAATGGGCAAAAACATGAAAGTTTTGTCTGGAATATTTGCATTGCAGTCATAGTAGCAACAAGCAAAAAATCTACTCCAATAAAGAAAGAGAAACCATACACCAAGACAATGCGAGGCTCTGTTATTTCATCTCTCATTACTTCTATTGCTTCCAAGGGTTTTAAACCCAAATTTCTCTTACCTCCAGGAAAGATGCATTTTCGGGGTCATCCAGCCTCCTAAGAGGACCATCATTTATGGTAAAACCATTTGACCAGAAAACTATGTTGTGGGTAACAGCCTCAGGCTGCTGAGGTGCAGATGGTACAGTTTCACCTGACAGTAATCTACCAGTTCCAGTGAAGCTTCTTGAACTTGAAGATGGCTGAAGATTTTCAAGAGGCCCTTCTACAGCTCCCAATTGCCTTGCTTGATTGAAAATTGCATCTACATCATTATTCTTTGAAGGATCTTGAACAAGCATGCCACTGCAGGTATTATATAACTCTAAGAAGTCACACTTAAGCATTGATGAGCAACATATTTTAGATAGGAATGAAAAATCCTAAAATTTATCAAGCCAGATTGAATAATTGATTTATATATTTACAAATAAACCCGTTCCTTAGACCAGGATCCAGACCAGGGATGCACCAAAATGTAGTGCAGTTGGCACTTGTAGTACCACAGACTAATAAGTCCAATATCTCAGAATGAGAAAATATGTCTATTGCCTCATGTATGTGAAATAAGAAAATCTCCTGACCCCTTGGAGTCATTGCACATTGAAAATTCTGAAGCATATCCTTAGTTGGAACAATCTTGAGAGATAAAAACGCAAGGGCAACAAGCATAAATACATACATAGCCTTATTCTCACAAAGAAAAAAAAAACAAAAAGGCATACTAAAGGAATCTAACTTTTACTAGTTTCTGTTGTCTGTCAATAGATAGAAGCTTCCAAAAGAAAAGTTCATTAAAGATATTTTTTTTTCCTGCCATTTGCACCAAATAAAGCATTATAATCAGACAAAGGAATAACAATGCTTGAATTATATGTTATACAACAGTCACTAGTTTCTATTCTCCTATACCACATAGCAGTTATAGGTATTAATGCACTGTTGAGCTGAGATAGGTTTCTGCTACAACTATCCACACACATCCTCAATCCAAAGTGCCAGGAATAGAGATAATCGACACTTATGAATACTTCAATGGGTTCTTACCCAAAAGTAGTTTTTCACATTCCTCAAATTGAAAACCCAATCAATGATCCTATCTCTCAACTTCAAGTTCATTTCCTAGACATCCCTATCGTAAGTCTTAAACAATACTTGAACTTTAATAACTCAATAACAGAAATTCCATACTTCATTTCGCCCTAATTTTCTAGGGCAACCAAACAAACAATCAGGAACAGTAGAAAAAAACACAAACATATCAGATTAGAACAACAGAAAAAGTCAGATACAGAAATCAAATAAAATTACGAGAACAAGACAAATGATACAAAGAGCTAACAGGATCGAATAGAGGAAGTGTTTAGAAACAAGCCGTACCTTTTCTCCCCACCGGTGTAGTACTCTTGGGGGCCATCGGAGTCGCTGTCGGAATCGGGAGCAGACCTCCTGTTCAGATCCGAAAGCGTGCGTATGCCGCCGGTGCGGCTGCTCGATGGCTTCGCCGGTTTCTTGTCACGTGAGGCCATCAGATTCCCCGTCTCGTTGTGTGTCTTGTACTGAAAAAAGCTTCCAAAGAAGGACGAAGGGATTCTGCCTTTTGTGGGAAAACGCGAGACTTTGGCGTAGTTGTTTATTGCGTACGAGAAAGGAAATTATGTATTATCAAAAAAAAAGAAAAAAAAAGAGAGAGGAAATTACGACGCGCCCTTTTGAGCGCGTGCAGTTTCTTAAGCTTGGACGTAAAATGGGCCCTAATCGGGCAATAGTTTGTCTTGTAAGATGTGTGTGGGCTGTGGCATTATATGGACCAACGCAGAAGTTACGGGCCTTGATTTGGGAATATTAGAAGTAGTGGTGAGGATAGGTAGGTGTTGGTCAGTTCTTCGCTCATGCCTGTACTTAACTTTAACAGTGACAAATATAAGATTTCAATATTTAGTGATTATTTGGGTATTGAAAATATATATCCATTACCCAACTTGTTAGGTATAGGTATATCCATAAGTATATTTATATACTCGTTAAATTTTACACTAAAAATACATAAATTAATATACAACTACAAGTTCATACATATGACACAAGTTTATATATAAAACAAAATATGTCAGTATATACACTCTCACACATAGACAATTTTATATACACAATAACAAAAGAAATACAAACAAAAATCTACATGATTTTTCTTAAGTTGAATTTTCATTGTCAGAAAAAAAAAACCATAAAAATTTTAATTTCATAACATTATATTACAAATTAAGCACATAAAACTAGAATATAATCATTATATTATAAATTCTTTTATGATTTGTTTGGAAACATGATTTTAATAGAGTGTATTTGAATTTTAACACTTAAAATTCAATATCATTGTTTGTTTTAAGATAAATAGAGTGTAATTGAATTTAAATAAAATTCATGTGTTTCACACTAGGTATTTGAAAGAGATAAAAACCATGTATTTCAAATTCATATTTAAACCCATGAATTTTAATTTCAAAGTGAGTTTACCTTGCACCCTCTCCGTACACTGACAACGATGAAGCCTCCGTTGTGACTTCCATTCGTCATCCACTCTGTCGTTGTCTCTCAACTTCTTGTCATCGTCCACTCAAACTACTCCACAATCGCACGCATGTGCCCATTGAGTTTTCATCATCTCTCTCACTAACAAGTTCTAAATCTAAGCCCTATCCTTTTCATTGGGTTTTTCTTCTTTCAGTTTGCCTTCTATTGATTTGTTGTTTTTGTTATTGTTATTGTTGTTCTTATTATTTTTTCATTTTCCCTAATGATTTGCTTTCATGGGTAGTTGTCCAATCTTTTGGATTTAAACCCAATAGTTTTGCTTTTTTATCTTTTGGTTTTCAAGCATAGATTGCCTTTCTTGGGTAAACATAAAGGTGGGACAGATCTACAGTCTTCCTCTCCACCTTATAGCATCCTCACAGTCATTTGTTGCTCCGTCTCCAAGTGGGTATTTTCTTAAACAAAGGAATTTTTATAGTGATTCATTTTCATGTGCTTAATATTTGAATTTTCAATTAGTAGTTATGGTCATTAATTCCTATTTTTCAGTGTGTCCATCATTTAGCTTTCATCCAATTCCAAACTTGCTATTTCTTTTTCCCCAATTTTTCTTTGTCTATTTCATGGGAAATAGATCAACAATCTTGTTTTTATTTGTGCAGTCTTTGCTTCCAATAGCTAGAGTAGATGATTTTTACTACCTTCTAAAAGGGACCCAAGTCAGCTAGATCAAGGCATTTTGATTAAAAGGTAATGAATCACAACTCATGCTTAGTGTTTTTTATAATCCAAATTTGATGCTTCGTCCAATTAGAATAGACCTGATAAGCAAAATATGGTGTTCTTTTGAAAATTCTTAGCTTTTTTCAACTATTCACTATACCATGTGTCTTTTATGTGGTAGAAAATGATACTAGCAAATTTAGAGGCTTTCAGTCTGGTTAGAAAAGGTTCAATTTCTCAATGTAGATGGAAAACGAGACTGTATTTGTGATTGCTTTGTTGCTTTACTACCATTGTTATGGAATAGTTTGTGTTATAAAAACCTCCTTAAGCATGTAGAGGGAATTGAAAAGATAACCAATTGACATCTCTATCATTGCTTAGTCATTTGGGGGCATGGAAAGAGAGGTCATTTTCTATGAACTTTAGGATTTCTAATGGGGTGGTGGAGCAGCTAGCTTGGTTACCATGGTAGTTAATTTAAGCCAAAAATTCACCTAGAAGGATTGACTTCAAATCAATGTTTTTGGGCCCGGCCCGTTTTGACCATCGGGTCACGTTCAGTCGATTAAACTGGTTTACCCGACCGATTCAACCGGTCAACTAAAAAAAAAATAATGATTTAGTAATTAAGGGGGAAGATTTTGATTTCTGTTGCTGTTTCTGTTTGGTGGAGCAAGAGAAGAAGGACAATGACAGAGGAGATGAGGAAGGGAAAGAGGGTAGTGACAGAGGAGATGATATGTTCTATAACAGTGTAACTTTTGTTTTGTTTTGCTGTTTCAATTCAGTGAAGGAAGGAGAAAGAGGTGATCGGTAGTCGACAACAGAGGAGATGAAGCGGAGGTGCTCAGCAGAGGAGATAAGGTAGACGAAGACGTCGAACAGATCAGATGAGGTAGATGAAGACGATTGGCGAAAGAGAAGAAGGGCAGCGAAGGAGGAGACAATCAGCGTGCGATTGACGGAAGAAAAGATCTGTTCTTCTACAATTCTATTGGTTCTGGGTTTCAAACTTTCAATGTTCGACAGAAGAGAAGAAAGGCAGCAACGGAGGAGACGATCGACGGCTGATCGATGGATGATCGACGAAAGAGAAGATCTATCCTTCTGTATTTCTGCTGGTTCTGGGTTTCAAACTTTCAATGTTAATTTGTTTCCCACTTTCCCGATGATCTTAGCCTCTTAGGGTTTTTAGTTTGACTGATTTTTGATTTAAGTTAAATTAGAAAAGATGATGAAATTCAGCCCAGCCGGTTGTAGCAAGTCGCACGGGTTCAACGAGTGCGATGGATGGGGCGGGTTTCAACGGGTCATTCAACTAAATGAGCTGAAGTCTTCAACTCACCCGTTTTTAGGCCCGAGTCCGATTGAACCAGTTCAACCGACCGGGCTGGGCTGGTCCCAAAACATTACTTCAAATGTTAATATCCCAATTTCTACTCTTAGTTACTCCATTATGCTTTGCTTTTTAGCTTTTTAGGCTTTTTAATTGGCCAAAACTTGAATGTTGAAACTAGATAGCTCAGTGGCATTAAAGTAACATCTTTATCATGATTGCTTCCATTAAAAGTAATTGTTTATAAGATGAAAAGAGGTGTTGTCCTAGTATATATTTGGCTTAGCAGTGGATAACAAAATAAAGAAATCTTAATCTAGATCCCAACATACACCTAAGAATAAATATAAGATTTAAGTATATGAATATAAGTGGTATGTTAAAATTTAAGCTTTTGTCATATGGTTGTACATGGAAACTATTAAGGTTGTCAAGTACACGATTAAGAGATCTAGACTGAATGCTTTTACAAGACTACTTCCTACTCTTAACAAGTTTATGTTGCTGCTTGCTTATTTGAAAAATGTCAACCACAATTAATTAGCCAAAATCATCTTTAAAAGAGATATTTTAAGTTTTCACACAAGAAATCCATGATCACAAAGTAAAATGTGATCGTGGACTTGCTGAAAATTTTCAAAAAAAATTCTCCAAAAACCTTTATCAGTTCTTGCATTTATCAGTTTTGGTTCATGCAAGGAACACAACCTAAATTGATGATGCTTTTCTTGTATTTTCTGGCACCAACATAACTTAATAAGACTCATCAATCATGGCATAAATCTATAAATTTAATAATAATAATAATAATAATAATAACTAAATTAACAACATTGAAAGTTATTCCAAACTTGCTATAATGTTATAATGTTCTAATTATTGTTGGTGAAACTGCTTTATCACTCAAGGAGTACATGAATTTGAAAAAGAAACCAAGTCGTCAAGAGATATATGAACTGGTTTCAAAAGTTTTGGGTCTTTCTCAACAGGAAATATTCAAAGCAATCCAACTGTTATTAAATGGTGATCCCTAGCAATTTTATTTGCTAAAATCACTTTCTGATGACAAGAAATATGATTGGTTGGCTTTCCTTCTAACTTCAAGTTAGTGATCAATTTGATACATGGTTAGCTTAATGATTAATTGATAAACTTGTTTTTAATTGTTTTTTTTTTTTTTGTCGAGTCTTATTCTTAAGATTGATTTATGTTAATTTATTGAGTTTTTTTTTCTCATTCTTGAGGTTGATTTATGTTAATCTGTTGAGTTTTTCTTTTATTTTTGAGGTTGGGATTATATTTTAAAGATTTTATAATAAGTTCAATTTATGGCAACAACAGGTGGTTAGGTTCAGTTTATGATATATCGTTATTTGATAACTTTTTATGTCTTAAGGATATATTTTAAAGTTATTGCTTTGAGTTAAGCTTGTTCTTTAACCTTGCGAGCAATATTTAAAGGGGCCATGAATGGCAATTTGATTCTAAATGAATAAAAGTGGAAGCTCTTCCTTTCTTGCTATGCCAAATTTTTAACCAATTCTAATGTTCTAATTGAAGAAAGCACTACATATCATGACGACTTTTCTCTCTACAAAGCTATATATATTTGGGTATTCACATCGATTGATTACTAAAAACTTACCTTGTTAATAGATATAGTTTATAATTATTCTAGATGCTACTTTGTTTCTTTGTTTCTTTGTTTTTCATAGTGAAATTCTTCCATGATAAATCCATCCTTAGAAATTGATTAGTGGAGATCATTGTTTCTTTTCCTTTTTTTTTTTTATCCAATTTGTTTGTCTTGAGATAATTTAAATAATGCTTTGGAAGACTAAAATAACACTTTAGTCTTATTAAATTTAAATAATGATTAGAAGAAGATTTAATTTAATATAAAAAAAATTCAATTTAAAATGCATAGCATTTTAATATATCCAAATAATGTATTTAAAAATACATACATTTCAAATACATGTAATTAAAATACACATTTCAAGTAAATGTAATTAAAATACACATTTCAAGTAAATGTAATTAAAATACACATTTCAAATACAAATATATGTTCCCAAACACAACCTTATAATTAAGTAATTTTTGTATAAATTGTAAATTTAAATGATATTTCTATAATTAATTAATGAAACATTATAATTTGAGTTTAAAACTAATGTGTTGTCTCCACAATCAAAAATCAACTGAACCTACTTGCTCTTAGGACACATATGCTATAATTGTAAGTATATGAAAATATTTTAATATATTTAGTGATTCATGAACTTATTAAAAATATTAATAATGATAAAATTAAAATTTATCAACTTCATATTTCTCTGGTACTAGCAAAGCTTGTTCATCATTTATTGGAGTTATATCGCTCCTTACCCACTCTCGATCGCAAACTAAAGCTTCCACAACTTTTAGAAACAAGCTACTTTGAAATTGATCAAGCATATGTCTAGAAGTATTAAAAGTTGATTCAGAAGGTACTGTTGACACTATAATAGCTAAAATATCTCTTGCCATTTTAGCTAAAAATTTGCATTTTGACTAGTTCTTTCTCCACCATTCCATAACATCAAAATCAATGTTGTAACGCTCGGCACAATAAAAAAGGTACCTTTTTAGCTCACTCTTTTCCTCATTTTCAGCTTCATCATCATCTTGAAAGTGCCTAAATTCATTGCAGAATTTGACTTTTTTACTTTTTTATTGTGATGGCTCCTTAAGAACTTGACCACCAAAAACTTGACCACCAAAAACTTGAGTAGAAAGTGTTTGTAGATCCTTTCTCATATTCTCTCATATTCCTTAAACAAACATTGCACGGCAATCTTTATACTATCAACAAATTCTTTAATTTTCCATTCATCATTGCCATAGATCTTTCTAAAGCAAAATTTGAAAAAACCCAATTTGTAAGATGAATCCAAGACAACCAAAAGCAACACCATCAAGTTAGTCTTGTCAATTTTGCTATAATATTTGTCAAATTTCTCCCTCATATGCATTGCCATGGATTGGATTTTCAGATCCAAATCAATCAATCAAAGGCCCAAGTACGCAAAGAAGTGAGAATACTAATCACTTCTTAAAAATATTTTTTTGAAGTGACATACAAAGAACTTGACATTCGTTTTGTGGCTTTATAAAAATCTTTCAAGAATGTAGACATTACCCCAACAATTTTCCAATCAACAGAATTAGGGGTCTTAAATAAAAGCTCTTTAGCCAAAGATGTATCCTCATCGTCAAATATGTCAAAAGCTTTCTTGAACTTGAAGACAGTATCCAACATTAAATAAGTTGAATTCCACCTAGTTGCTCTGTCAAGACATACCGAACTCTTATGCGGAAGCTTTTTCCTCTTCAATACACTTTTGGAAAAGTTGTGCTCTAACTAGAGAATTCCTCACATACTTTATTGCTTTTCGAATTCGATCAATGGGAATTTCAGATTCCTTGAGGCCATATCTCACTATCAAATTCAATATGTGAGCTGCACACCTCATGTGAAAAAGTTGACCACCAAAAGAAGAGACTTGTTAGCATCTAACCACTCTCAAATAACCATTACATCATTAGAACTAGCATTATCCACTATCAAAGTGGACATTATGTTTTCTAGCCCTCTCACCTTAATGCATTTCTCTACCATTGTTCCAATCTCTTTACCCTTATGGCCAAGCATTACAATAAAGTTAAGGACTCGCTTATGCAACCTCTAATCTTCATCAATAAAATGTACAGTCGAGTATAAATAATTTAAGTTTTGCATTGAAGACCATATATCTATTGTGAGAGCAACCCTTGATCTCAAAGATCCTAAAGTTTTTTTTTACTCCTCCTTGTAACTAACATATAACTTGTGGCGATCCCTTGCAATTGTGAAGTGTGATACATGAATGAAAAGTGGCTGAAATGTAGTGACAAATTGTCTAAACTGTTTATTCTTGACCAAAAGGAAAGGTTGCTCATTTGCCATTACAAATCTAGCAAATATGTGTCTGGCATAATCTTGATCAAAGCTCCAATTACCCAAGCCATACTTAACCTTCCCATCCTTATCAACCATAAAAGTTGTAATAAGTTTTTGATTTGCATCATGATTGGTAGGAACCTTGTTGCATTTTTTGTAATGCTTCCATAGGTTAGGTATACCATGACTAGAAATATATGGAACTTGCTTCCCACAATATAAGCATTTCCCAAATGCTTCACCTTTTGGATCTTTAGTCTTTTCAAAGTGCTCCCATGTGGCTAACTCATCAGTATTCTTTTTTCAAAAGATGATGTATCAGAGTCACTAATAGTTTCTGTTTGATAAACACTTTGATCAACAGTTTTGTTAGATTGTGTCTTTCAATTGGTTGGCATTTTTAACCCATCAAATTCTACCTATAAAAGATTAAACTCAAAATAAATAAATAAATAAATAAATAAAACAAACAACAACAATAACAAAAACCCACTAAACATAACTTTAATAAATAAATAATTAATTAATTAAACTCAAACATAAGAAGTTCAATGAACATTGGATTAGGTGAATGCCAACCACATAATAGACAAATACCAAGATATAAATGTCAATATCATTTTATCTAAAAAAAAAAATGTCAATATGCCATCTAAAGTCTAAAATGAGAAGTAGGTAGTAAATTTAACCACAAAAATCTTTACATTTGATAAGATTATGCAACTGGAAGTAGCGTTTGGACAAACTAAGATTGATTACCATAGGACTAAAGCTAAAACCAAAATTGCACACTTTTCGTGGAACTAAAGAGGGGGAGAAGTACCTGAGGTGTTAAAGGTAGGTGAGATGTGAATAGACCTACAAATGTTGAGGTGTGAGTCACATAATTTGTAGTTGATATTGTGTTTGGAGATGATCGTAGAAGATGATAAAAATTGGAGACAATTCTAGAAAATTATAGAAATTAGAAAAACTATTTAGGGGCGACTAAAAGAGGGACACACTTTTTTAATTTTTTTGTGTAAAATATTTATTTATTTATTATTTTTTGTGATGGCTATAATTTTAGATATTAATGATATATATAATATTATAAATATATAATAATGTATATAGGTTAGGAATATAAGTCAAGTATACAAGTCATGTATATGGATTAGATATACAGGTCAGGTATATAGATTAGATATACAGGTCAGGTATATGGATTAAGTTTGGTATATGGATCACATATACAAGTTTGATATATAGGTTAAGTATACAGGTCGGGTATACAGGTATTAACTATCATACCCAATACTTACCAATACTTCGCAGGTATGCATTTTCATACCCGATATTTAATTGTCTCTTCACAGATACAGGTAAAATACCAACCTAAACAAATCATATACCTACAGATATCAGATATACCCATACTCAATGCTCAGCACCTAATTAGAAGGGGTACATCTGGGTTGTGAATCGAGTAGAACCGAACCGAGCCAAAGACATTGAGATGTTTGTAGAGGGATTTAATTAAAAAAAAAAAACAAATTTAAGAGCTTAATTAAATTAAAAAAAGAGTATTTTACTAATTAGTAGTTTGGAAACTAATTTTTCTCAAAATAAAAGAAACTTTGAAGGCCAAAATAAAAAGAAAAACGAATTTTTCTTTCCAATTTTGTTCTACCAATTACTAAATCCATTTTAAAAAGGACCATTTGTCCATCTTTTGTTAGTTGGTTAAAAGGGAATACAACCTATGCTAAGCACCACATATAACAAACAAAAATTATGTTTTAGTCTAATAATTTTAAGAGATTCAAGTTTTTTAAGACGGATTGTGTATTAAAAGTGTAGTTTATTTTATGAATTTACTTAAATACTCTTAATGAAATAGTATAAGAAATAATTTTATTAGAGATATTTAAGAAAATTTATAGGATAGACTGCATTTTTAATATATAGTCTATCTTGTAAAACACTTTTTTATAATTTTAATACTTTCATGAAGTCTTAAGTTTACTAATTGAACCCTCAACAATTTGATTTAGACAAATAGATTCTTAAAGCTTTAAAACACAATTTATCAAAATTAATTCAGTGAATTCTACACTAAATCTGATTAACTCATTGTCATTGGTTGACTAATTGAGAGAAAAACAGGAACATAGAAATCTTACCGGTCTAAAAATTTTGAACCAGAGATTCTGTACTGGTTCAATTTCGGACCGAATCAGTACCAATGCTGATGCGAGATGACATGGCATATTACCAGTGTAGAGAAAGCACCGAACTGAGCAGAAAAAGCACCGTCAATGGCGGACCCAAAGGCGCCAAAGGTATCGAACCGGGCGGCAAGCAAAGATCGGAGCCGTTTAAAATACTCCTGTGATGCCGGGATGTTATCCTGCGTGCACCCTCCCGAAGCGGTCAACCTCGACAACGAAGATTCCAACGGTCCGCTGAGTTCCGACTATGACAGCTGTGATTCGACCGATGACTCTACTCCGTTGGCCAAACTATCGGCTGGAGTCCGAGTCTTCTCCGATTGGCTCCTGACAACGAAGCTGTCAGAGACGGAGATGATCAAGGCGATGGAGGCTTCGCGATGGGAAGCGGAGAAGCTGCGAGCGGAATCGGAGGTCGAGGCCACTCGGATGCTGCTGCGGACGCAGTCCCAGATCGCTTCATTTGTTTCTGCTACAGAAAGTAGAAAGAGGAAGCGCGTTGAGGAAGACGAATCGCGAGATTCATCTAAAAGGTACAGCTCTGAGCCTCTCTGTTTTCATTCTAGATCCGAAATCCAATGTTAGTTGTCTCACAAAGTCGATAGATTTCGTTGATAAATGCAGGCGAGGAGCTTTACTCCTGAGCTTACTCCAGTGCGACTTAGATCTTTTCAACAAACGATGAATCAATTTGCAGTTCACTGTAATAACTTATAAAAAACTTTCGTTTTCTAGTTCTTGATTCTGTAATCTCGAGTATCAACACTCTATCTTGTTGTTCTATGTTTGGAATAAAATCTAGCTTTGGTTTGTCCGTATGTATGGGGCTGTCTGGGTATTTCCGAACAGATGAAGATCCTAGGTCAATTGCGTCCAGTTTCGTGTGTGTCAGAGTCAAGGGCCTGGCCTGGGCGAGGAAAAGCAGAACAGAATGGCACAGTCCACATGTACTTTCTCTCTGTTCAATGATCTATTGTTTTCAACTTCTGCTCAGATTTTATATTTATTCTGCAGATTGCACAATGTTGAAGAAAAATAGAAACCATGCTGTTGCTCTTCGTCTAACTTTCCACTGTGAGAGGTAAATTCTTTTCAGTTTCAATTTGATGGAATATAGCTCTTTTCCTTTCGTTTCAGAAGTTATTTTTGGGTAATCTGACTTGTTTAGTTATCATGCATTATGTTATCTTTGATATAAATCATTAGGGAAAGTAGGTGTGCCCTTATATTGGTTTGGAACACACAGGTAAATTGTCAGATGAAATTCTTGTATCCCTTCTGGATCTGGCAAAGAGGCTATAAGAACGAGTGCCTTATCCTGTATGGGTTGAGGAAATTGTGGACCTTTTGGAGTTTATTGGATTTTGACTGTGGTTGGAATTTGATGGACCTGTTTGTATAGGTGGAATACGCAAAAATCACTTAAATTTCAAAGTTCTAAGTTCCTTGATTAGATCAATACTCTTGAAATCCCCTGCAGTCACAGAGATAAATATAAGTTTTTCTGTTTTAGTCTTAATGAAGGTTGTCGAGATGAGGTTGAGAGTTGGATCAAATCTATGTTAGAAAGGTGAGTTCAGAAGCCATGCTTGCAGTTTATTGTCTGCAACATAAAATATCACATCTCCCTTACAGCAGAGTTTCCTTTGTATTTGCTTGCTTGAATCCCTGATAGTTCCACATTTGGATTTTGTGAAAGTGAGTGGTACTGTGGTTGAGTACATTTTGTTGAATTGCGCCTCCATTGAAGTGCTGAGATTGACAAGAATAAGATGCTTGATCATCTAAAGGTTTCTAGTTCTCCTCTCAATACATTTAACTGTAGGGCCATGCTTCCTTCTGGAAGTGTTGAGATTTTCAATACGAATCTTGTTTTGTTGAGTTTTCTGGGGCATTTAGAAGAATGTTCCTTGTCTAACTGAAATATGTTTTGATGGGGAGTATTCTTTGCCTCGTAGTCATTTAAAAACATTACCCAGTTCTCAAGCTATCCCTCTAGGCTATAAACATTTGTGCTGGACTCAAGTTGTAAAGTCAGCACTCAAAAGTCAAGACTATATATTTTCTGTTTGTCAATCAATTCTCCTCTCAATACTAATTAACTAATATTTTGCGTTTGATTCACTAGTTTTGGGGTTGGAGGCATACCAGGTGGAAGTGAAGAAGAAGAGGGCTTTGGTTTGCAAACAAATTTTACAAGGTGGTCAAGCTGCATGGTTTTCCTTCTCGTGCCATTGATTATGCACTCATGTGGAATTTACTTGAAAAAACCATTTCACTTGAGAAGCTGATTATCAATCCTTGTCCTTTAGATGCTTGGATAAGGGAAGTGGGTTCTGAAGATTTTGAGCATGTCTTAGCAGCAGGAACTCATGCTAAACAGCTGGAAACAAGTTTACTACCAGGAGTTAAATTGCTTCAGCTATAGCTAAGTCGCATATCGAAAGTGGAAGGTATGCTGAAATCATTGCTTTACTTAAAGATAAGAGTTGGGATGGTTTTCATTTCTTATTAATAGTTGGGATATATTTAGCACTCACATTTTCTCTTTGGGATTTATTTGTGTAGTTGACCTTGGCTAAACAGAGTATGCTCTTTTGTTTTTGGCCGTCGAGTTTGCTCTGAAGTTAGAAAAGGAGAAAAAGTCGTGGTATAGACTATAGATAATTTCCTTATGACCTTGATGGCTCAGTTCTTATTTACAATCATTTATTTTCTCTCGGTTTGCTTGTTTTGATTAGGGGTGGATTTTGTAGTCTACCTTTAAACTGTGTTATAATGTCAAACGGTTAATAAAAATGGTGCTGCATTAAGCTGCTGTCTTTCTGATTTCATTTGTGATTTACAGGAAGAGTTTCCCAATAAAACAAATTCAAACCGCAGATCAAAACAAAAGTTCCAAAAATTACATCTCTAATTAACACTAATACAAGTACTATTAATTAGATTATTACTGATAAAATTTAATAGTCTATTAACTATAGATTTATAGAAAAGTGTAATTTGTCACTTAAAACCATTGGAGGGGGCAAACGTCACTTAAAACCATTGGAGGGGGCAAGCGTCACTTATCAATTGATAGAAAGGTGGACTTTTTTATATTGAGAATTAACTTTTTTTATCCATGATTAAAAATAATATAATATTTTTTTTTGAACAGTTTGACATTATTTACATGTATATATGAGGAGGGAGGAAATGAGTTTCATGGAGTCGAACATGTCATTCACGGAGGTAAACAGTCCTAACTCAAATTCTAATGTCATTGGATCAGTATAGGTCATTCGATTAAAAATAATATAATATAAATTATGTTATAACATTATCATACATTTTTGTTGCCTTAGTGTCGAAACTAATTTTTCTGCTATTTTAATCTTCCAAAAAAATTAATATATGCATCAAATGGACCATGGCCATCCTCCATCCATCCAACTTTCATCAGTTAGCTTAATGGAAATTGTGCCCGAGAGTCTGACACAAATTAGGCAACCACATGGATGTTCAGTTCTTAGTTGGCCTTAAGAAAATCCATTACAGGCACCAATTAAGCTATCAAGTAGGTTCATCTGGAATAAAAAAAAGTATGTTTTATCTTAAAAACCTAGGAGTAATAGTTCTAATTTTATGTATTAAAATAGTAATTATTTACTTTATTTCTTAAAGTTGAGGAAAAAAATTATTTTAAAATTATATAATTTTAATAAAT